AGAATCAACATGACAGTGTCAAAATACACCTCAACTTTTCCCAAAATTTTTATGAATTCTTTTTTGTTGTTGTTGTTTTGCGATGGAGTCTTGCTCCGTCACCCAGGCTGGACTGGAGTACAGTGGCGTGATCTCAGCTCACTGCAACCTCTGCCTCCCGGATTCAAGCGATTCTCCTGCCTCAGCCTCCCAAGTAGCTGGAATTACAGGCACAAGCAACCAAGCCTTGCTAACTTTTGTATTTTTAGTAGAGATGGGGTTTTGCCATATTGGCCAGGGTGGTCTTGAACTCCTAACCTCAAGTGATCTGCCCACCTCAGCCTCCCAAAGTGCAGGGATTACAGGCGTGACCCACTGCTTCTGGCCATATGAATTCTTGAGCCAAACACAGGTGACTGTTACTTGTTCTGTTTCTGAAAAATACTTTTGACAAGTGGTGAAAACTCTGCTTAATTTCCATCTAGTTTACTTCCATAAGCAAGATTAGTAAGGAATATGGATCAGTAGATTGGGTGTTCTCAGTTTTAAAGCCAGGTAATGTCAAGATTTGTTACTTGGCCAAGTCTGTAGTCTTTATAATTTTTTTGTCCCACCATGTCATTTGCTCAGTGTGATTTGTGCATTTCCTGTGTCATCCATCACTGCTGGGGAGCATACGCATATCACGTAGAGGATTAGAAGAAAGTGATTTTGTGCTTAGAAAATAATTGAACGGAGATTTACTTGGACTGGAAGCTGCAGGATAGCTGCCTGTTTTAAAACCTCTCATTGGGTTATATAACCAGAGGTGACCCAAAGTCTTTAAAGATGAGTTTCTGTGTCTGAGTGAGTTTTTGTTGCATAGCCTGTGCTTGCTGGAGCAAAGACCTGTTTAAGGGCCAAGAGCGGCCCCCACGCCAGTCATCGGGTGGAATCTTCCATGACATGTCTCCACTTCCTCCCAGCTGAGTGGCTGCTGTCTTTAAGTTCCTTCTACCAAGGTCAGGCAGATGTTTGTTGAAGGTTTGCTTATGTAACAGGTACCACCTTATTACCTCTTTACTCCAATTTCATTTGCTTCATATACCGTGGTTAGATGAATTCCTTTAGAGTCCCAAATAAAAAAGAAAGACAAAAAGCAATAGCTTCTGATTTTTAGCCAGGGGAAGCCTGGGTTATCCATCTCCAGGTAAACCCAATGCATCCTTTTGTTTTACTGAGCCAGTCTTTTCCTCTTTCGGCAACACTAGCAAGACTTCTCAAATGTCTTCCTTCGATTATCTTACAAAATATGCATTATCCAATTTCATTTGGAACTTGAACCCAAAGATCAAGGCCAGCCATCTGTGATTTTTGAAACCTCTGGCTGTTGCTCAGTTTTCTGGGGCAGCCTTTCACAGGCACATGCCGCGTCCAGCCGGCGTCAGCCAACCTCCAAGCTCCTCTTTCCTGCTCCCCTCAGGGTAAGTGGGGGTGTTGGAGAGGAGAGGGGGGCATCTGGGTTGTTTCTCCTTAGTTACCAGGATTGGGCACATTCTGTTTCTTCTTCCTTTGGAGATCATCCATTCTGAATTTTGAGTCTTCAAATAGGCTTGGAGGGCTCTTTATCCCTCAGATAACGTGTCTGTGATTGGCTGTCTGGAAACACATGGCGCTTCTGTCTGCCTCTCACAGGGTGAATCCAGTCCTTCAAATGGGAAGCTTTCCTGTAAGGTAGGTGGGGAGGGGGTAGTTAAGGCAGGCTGGGAGGAAATTAATTTGGGATAAGTAAGGCTTGTTGCTGCTCTTGCAAATTATAGTGGATAATGAGGGCCTGGGTTGTCTTATGATAAAATTTGACATAAGAGATTTTTTTTGAGGTGTACAATAGAAATACTTCCAGCTGTAGATACATAATTACATTGACGTGTAAATCGTAGACAGAAAGAACAGATACAAAAAGCAAACTCTTCTTCCGTGGGATTTGATAAGTGTGAGTTTTCTTAACAGTGTTCATCTGAATGTGGAGATGTTTTTTTTAAAAAGAGATGAAAGGCCCAAATGTTTGAACGATTAACTAGGGAATAAGAATGCTTATTTTCCACCCAAAACACTGCATCTGTAATAAACCATGATGAGGAAGTAATGCCCCTGTAACCTTTTTCCTTTGGTAATTTATCTTTCTAATTCCAGTGGCTGAAAGATGACTTTGTGCCTGGGGAGAGCGAGCAGGTCAGATTAATTTGTGCCATCACAGCGCAGCTTTATTATCCATCCTTCGAGAGTTTTGCAATCAAGATGCTTTTAGCAGAAACACAGTGGAAAGGCCACTTCTCTCAGGGCTTGTAGGAGCTAAGCACTGCCCTTTGAGTGTCTCCGTGCTGCCTGGGCAGCCAAGAGGGCTGTTTTCTTCACTTCACACTCAACTCCTCCTGCCCCTGACTGTGCAGGGCAGACAGGTGTGGCCAGCGTGCTCTGCAGCCAGCAGGATCCCTCACCCAGGGTACCTCCCCCTGTAAAGGGATGCTTGCTTTAAGACATCTCCACTTGTCACCTTTCTGTGTATGGTTCCTGTTTGGATATCTGACTCTTTGTCTGTTCAATATCAGGCATGCATTTTCTTTTTTAAAAAGTATATTTTTACAGTGACATGGTATCATGAGTACCTTTAAAATGTGTATTTTTACAATCATATTATATTATGATTACCTTAAAAGAAAACTCTTTAAAAAGAATTGTCCATGATTCTGTTTCCCTAATATAACATATCTTCATCCTCTGGGTTTTATATTTGTGTATATGTGTATGTCTGTGTAGGTATATTTGTGTGTGTGTGTGTGTCTATTTTGTCATGTACCCATTTTCCTGTTACCCATGTAAAAAATCTTGGCATCAGCTCTATACCCTTTCTGCTCTGGAAATCCTGCCAGTGGATATGACATGAGGAAAGGAGAGGGGGCCGTGGTGTCCAGCAACTCTTAGCATGAATCCTGGTTCCATCACATGGTGACTCACCTTGGGAAAGACCATCCTTTGTTTGTTGGTTCATTCATCTATCCATCTGTCTGTCCTCTCTGCCTCCCTTCCTGTCTCCTGTTCACAAGCATTCACTGTACTGTTGTACAGCATGCTAGATGCGGGGGATCTGGGCATCATTTTCCCATCCATAAAATATAGATATTGCAGCATATTAAGGATTATTGTTATGAGGATTCAACTTGCTAATGCATGGGAAGAGACCTAGCACAACAACAGCAACAGCCTGGCACGTGATAGGATGCCAGTTAATGGTGCTGTGTGATCAGTCAGCAAGTCTCGTTGTTCTTATGTAATTTCCCTGGCCTCTGTGACTTCCATTTCTTAGCAGCCTGCATGATGATGGGCAATTACTTTCATACCTAGACTGTGCAAGAGGCTTTTAACGGGGCATTATAGGCCTCAATCTATTCTGTTAAATTCTTCCTATTACCACCGTTTGCACTTCTAAAGCATTGTTTTTGTCTGTGTTACTCTTGGTGCAGAACCTTTCAGTGACTTCCGAGGCTTTTCTGAATTTCTTACTGGCCACTTGCGGCTCTCTCAGTACTCTGGGCTCCTCTTGAGATTTCAGCTCTGAGCCATCTTGCCACCCTCTTCCACCTACGGAAATGACTCACCCATTTGGTCTTCTGTGTCTACTGCCATATGTGCAGGGAACTGCATTGTCACTGGTGAGAGGAGAAAACAGCATATGAGCCACACATTTGGGAAGCTCTAACCTTCCTTGTGCAGTGTCTTAGTTCATTTTTGCTGCTGTAACAGAATACCTGAGACTAGGTGATTTGTAAAGAACAGAAATTTGTGTTCTCACAGTTCTAGAGGCTGGGAAGTCCGAGATCAAGGTGCCAGCATTGAGCAAGGGCTTGTTTACTGCACGCTCCCTGGGGGACGAAGACCTTATCTTCACGTGGCAGAAGGCAGAAGGGCATAGAGACAGAAGGGGGCTCTACTCACCCTTTTGTAATGATGTTGATTCTACCACTGAGGGCAAAGCCCTTATGGCCGAGTTACTCTCCAGGGGTCCCATCTCCCAAAACTGCCACTATGGCAACCAAATTTCAACACGGGTTTCAGAGCTGACTTGCAATCAAACCATAGCATGCAGTAAAGACTTATGACTAACCTAGTATTTCTGAGGGTATACTGTTTTTTAACATGTTGTTATTATTCAACAAATGATAAGAGTAGTAGATGATACCTTGTTGGAGCTAGACTTCAAGCTTTCAAGGAGAGACTAACTAGGTCATGTATTTTTTGCATCCTCTATATTATTACCATCAATACAAACCTTTTAGGGGGCCATGTGCAGTGGCTCACACCTATAATCCCAGCACTTTGGGATGCCAAGGCGGGCAGATGGCTTGAGCTTAGGAGTTCGAGACCAACCTGGGCAACATGGTGAAACCCTGTCTCTACAAAAATGTAAAAATTAGCAGGGTGTGGTGGCACTCACCTGTATTCCCAGCTACTTGTGGGTCTGAGGCAGGAGGATTTCTTGAACCCAGGAGACTGAGGCTGCAGTGCGCCAAGATCACCCCACTGCATTCCAGCCTGGGTGACAAAGTGAGACCCTGTCTGGAGAAAAAATACAAACCTCTTAGGGGATTACATTCTATAACAATTATTTTGTTGATTCATCCTCAGGACTATTTATCAAAACCATGTTAAGCTCTGAAAATATTTACTGGGTAGTAGATTTTGCTGAATTTGCAGGAACTCTCCCAACTGGTGACGGCATCTGTAGCAAAAAGACAGATACAGGAAGGTGTTAAGGTGTTTCCTAAGATTGTTTTGTTTTGTTTCATTTCAAAGGTCTGTTTTCTGTAGATTGCATTTGTGTCTGAATGAGTTTATTAAGTTCAGAATTCTGCTGAGGAAGTCCTGCAACCCACATTTAGGGATACTCACATTATTTATAATCAGTTATTCTCTTTATATTTTATTTCACCCACAGAATATAATGTTTATATACATTTATGTGTGTGTTAGTGTGTTGCTATAGGATGGTGCAAAGTATGTTATGTTATGTTATGTTATGTTATGTTATTTTTTTGAGATGGAGTTTCACTCTTGTTGCCCAGTCTGGAGTGCAGTAGCATGGATCTTGGCTCACTGCAGCCTGCACCTCCCAGGTTTAAGCAATTATCCTGCCTCAACCTCCCGAGTAGCTGGGATTACAGGCGCCATCACCATGTCCAGCTCATTTTTTTTTGTTTTTGTATTTTTAGTGGAGATGGGGCTTTACCGTGTTGGCCCGGCTGCTCTGGAACTCGTGACCTCAAGTGATCCACCTGCCTTGGCCTCCCAAAGTGCTGGAATTACAGGCGTGAACCACCGCACCTGGCTAGGATGGCGCAAACTATTTTAAATTTTGATTACCGGTTTCTACTTTGGGAAACTGTCTTACAATCTCTGATTCTCCTCTCCTTCAACTTCAGATAAGAGGCACTGTTTGTGGCCCTGTCAGTGCTGGCATTTTGGGACTCTGTTATCTATGAGTCTAATCAATACCAAATGTTGCTGATTCTAGAATGAAATGCCTTCTGATTGCTGTTTATAAGATTCCGTCTGTAGTGAAATTAAATTGACTTCTAACAGCAAGTATCTCTGTTTGGAAAATAAAGCTCGTATGTTAAATCATGTCTATTCTAATTTTAGTTTTCTTTTCTTTCCACCAGTTTGCTGTTTTGTGGTCCACAAGAGGTGCCATGAATTTGTTACTTTTTCTTGTCCGGGTGCGGATAAGGGACCCGACACTGATGTAAGTAGTCTGGAAATCATGAGTTGATGTTAATGTGGATTTCTGAACTTTAATTTTTTTAACGCCTGTACAACTGTTTGTTTTGGCACTTACTATTAATGGGAAGACTCAATTCCCATAGAACGTTGGCTTGTACTAATGAGCAGATTTATAGCTCTTTCGAGCTCTGGACTACGTCTTAGAGAAATTCTTGGAGGAGAATTTCTTGTTAGCATGTACTGTTCCACTCTGAGCAGCTGCATTGACTAAATCTACCAAATTTATCGTAATAGCTTTCATAAACACAATGCAGTTGTTGACAGGTTTTATAATGAACATTTATCACCCTTCAGTTTCTTTCCTTTTCTTTTCCTTTTCCTTTTCCTTTTCCCTGTCCCTGTCCCTGTCCCTCTCCTTGTCCCTCTCCCTGTCCTTTCCTTGGAGTCTCACGCTGTTGCCCAGGCTGGAGTGCAGTGACACGATCTCAGCTCACTGCAACCTCTGCCTTCCAAGTTCAAGTGATTTTCCTGCCTCAGCCTCCTGAGTAGCTGGGACTATAAGGCGTGCACCACCACACACAGCTAATTTTTGTATTTTTAGTAGACATGGGGTTTCATCATGTTGGCAGGCTGTTCTTGAACTGCTGACCTCAAGTGATCTGCCCATCTTGGCCTCCCAAAGTGCCGGGTTACAGGTGTGAGCCACTGGGCCTGGCCACCCTTCAGTTTACTTCCAAGCTGAAATAAACCAATAGGAGCATCATTGCTTTGGGCCAATGTAACAAACTACTCTTGGTTTACTCCCGGGGATTCTTGCTGCCTTTTAAGTGTATATTATCAATGCTGCGGCTGATTGAAATAATTTAGCATCTGTTTCACCGAACAGTGATCTCTGAAGTTGCCCATGTGTGAACACATAATTTCCTCTCTTTGTGGACAATTCTGATGGTCTCTGTTGCATCTCTTGTGTACTTAAAAATGGATCCACAGACCAGGCACGGTGGCTCGCGCCTGTAATCCTAGCACTTTGGAAGGCTGAGGTAGGCGGATCACCTGAGGTTGGGAGTTCGAGACCAGCCTGACCAACATGGAGAAACCCTGTCTCTACTAAAAATACAAAATTCGCCGGCCGTGGTGGCGCATCCTGTAATCCCAGCTCCTCAGGAGGCTGAGGCAGGAGAATTGCTTGAACCCGTGAGGCAGAGGTTGTGGTGAGCCAAGATAATTGTGCCATTGCACTCTAACCTGGGTAACAAGAGCAAAACTCCGTCTCAAAGAAAAAAGAAAAAAGGATCCACAAAGGAGTCATGGAAAATACCAATGTCTAAAATATGTTGGATGGAGAGAAACTTCAGCCGTTATATGAAAAGTAATATTTTAACTGAATTAAAACAATTGTCAGGCAGGCTTAGAAGACTGGACATTTCTGTTCTGAATTGCTTTTGCTTGATCAGTTCAGTCACTCAAGTTGTGTGCTTGAAGCGATTCCCATCTTTAATGCCTGTTCCCATCAGGAAACTTTGATTTGAAAGCGGCTTTCTCAGTGCAGGCAAGACTCAATTCTTCCCTCTGCAAAAGATGACATTTTTGCAGCGTGCTCTGAGGGATTCCAATTTACGTTATTGTAACACAAATAAGAGGAAAGTTGCTGTTTGGTGTTCAGTGCACAGGAACATGCACGATGGGGTTAGGGTGCTCGTGGAGGCAAGATAGAGTGCCTGTTGTGGGTTCTGAGCCACCACGGGTTCCACAAAGGCTCCCAGGACATGGGAGCCAGAGGAAGCTCAGGGGTCATCTTGTTTTATAACTTCATGGACAAGGAAGTCCAAGTCCATGAATGTTGAGTGACTTGGCTGCATACAAACAAAACTAGTTAGTTTCATGCCCCCGCCCTGCCCCCCGGCCCCCGCCACTTTCCATCCTTCTCTTCTGGAACATTGTGCCACTTTCCATCCTTCTCTTCTGGAACATTGTGGGATATTGTCTTCCTTTAGGGCATTTTAGAGGTAGAAATAGCTGGAACATAAAGTACTAACTTTTCCAAAATGCCAAGTCCCATTGACCTTGTTTGGAGTTGTCTAAAACCTCATGTCACAGCCTTCACTTCCTTGCTCATCATTCCCATCTTCATCTTGCTGTTTTTTTTTCTTTCGTCTCTTCTCTGTCTTCCCATTTCTGCCCCATCAAGAATGAGGAGGGAGGACGGGCAGGCTTCAGGATGCAAGTAGTTTGTCGCTCTTCTCTTCCCTTTTTTCCCCCCTCCTACTTTTTCATTCTTTCGCTTAAATATTCTTTATTGAGAACCCATAATGGGCCAAAGTCTGTGCTGGGTCCTGGGGTATAACACTAAGCATGGAGATGTGCTCCTTGCCCTCCTGGACATTCTGCAGGGGGAAGGCAGACATTAAAATATCTCTCATTAAAATAGGATACAGGTACACTGAGCAGGTTTCTCTAAGGGACCTATTGCATTTAAACTGAGCGTGATGCATGGGTAGGAGATAGGCAGACGAAAGGAAGGGTGTACGCACGTGTGTGCACATGTGCATGCTGAGCTGTATGGGGCCCTGGAAAAGGATGTTTGAGACAAAGGGAAGAGCAAGTGAGAACGCCAAGATGTGGGAAGGAGTTTAATCAATAACAGAAAGCTGGGAGTTGGGTGTCTGGCACGGATTTTGGGCACACTCTTAGGAGCACTAGGGGCTCAGGAAAGGTTTTAACCTAAAAATGATGTGGTCTGATTTGCATCTTAAAAAGGTTACTCTGGTTGCCTTCTAAGAAATGGATTGGGCAGGAAGTGCGCTTGGTGTACTGGTGGAGATGGGGAAATAGCAAAGGCTGGAGAATACTGTGTAGAGGTACCTCTCCTCTGGGCGATGTCACAGGGGCTTGTAGACGGACGCACTGGGGATGGACAGAGTCAACTCATTCAAGATACGTTTAGGAGCCAGATCTGCAGTTCTTGGTCATTGTTGGATTGGGGAAATGGAGATGTTGAAAATGACTCCCTGGTTTCTGGCATGAACATGTGAATGGATGGAGGTACATGAAAGCCATGGGGACTCTGGAGGGAGAGCATGTATTTGGGAGAGTGAGATGGGGCAGAACAGGGGTTTCAATTTGGTCATAGCCTGTTCCTGTTGCCAACACAAAATACTGTAGACTGGGTAATTTGTAATTAATAGGAAATGTTTTTTCACAGTTCTGGAGGCTGGGAAGTCCAAGATCAAGGTGCCAGCAGATTCTGACTGCCAGTGTCAGACATCTCACACTGAATATGTCTCCTAATGGTCCGTGTCCCCGAAAATTCGTATGCTGAAACTTAACTGCAGTGTGATTGTATGAAGAGGTGGGTCCTTTAGGAGGTGATTCAGCCATGAGGTGGGGCCTTCCTGAATGGGACCAACTCCCTTGTAAGAGAGGTACAAGGGAGCTGTTACTGCCATTTCCCCTTTTAACCCTTCTGTTATGTGAGTACACAGCAAAAAGGCACCATCCAGGAAGCAGAGCCCAGCTTGCGCCAGATACAGAATCTGCTGGCACCATGATCTTGGAAGAGAAAGGAGAAAATCTGATTTTTGGTCTTTGGCGCGAGAGACCTATGACTAGGGCTTTCTGCAGCCAAGGCCTGAGAAGTGTTGACTGGTTGTGTGCAGGATGATTTTACTTACTCTGCAAATCTGCAAGCAAATCTTATGAAGGTACAGGATGATCAAACTGTCCTGTACCAGGGAGATAGTTGGAAAATCATGAAGGCATTGGGAGGTAGAACTGAGCTGAGATGCTAGAATGTTCTTATTTTATCCTTTTCTGAATACCATTTTTCTGCAAATCCCAGGAGTATTGAGCCAGAAGGGGTGTTAAGGATTTATCTGGGTTGACCTTATTTTATCGATGAGGAGACAGCTAAGGCAAAAATGATCTGAGGTACTGTCATATGTTATCTCTTGAGTATCCAGTGGGCTTGTGGCGGATTCTTTCAAGGCAATTGGTCATGAAGAGAAATGAGGCGTTGGTGGCTTGACTGGGTTGTGCAGCCAGTGGAGCACATTGACAGCTATTCCTTGGTGCATTTGTTGAAAATTCTGGTCAGGTGTTTAGAAAACTAGCAGGCTTATTATACCATCTTGAGAATTATCTTATTCTCCAGTCCTTTTCAGTGTCTTAGAAATCGATCCAATAAAAAATGCCTGCCAGCAGGCTCAAGGAGAAAGACCAGTGAAAATAATGGGAGGTTTCAGAATTTAAGAGAAAAAAAAAAAAAACTGCCCGAAGCATTTTTCCCCTGAAAAATTTGAAAATTTTAAATTGGGATTTTTTTTTTTTCATACCATGGAGAATGGTTAAGATATCCTGTTCATATGCTGCTTAATAGTACCTTAACTGAGCTGGGCAGACTCTTAACACATTCACAGACGGGGAAAAAGAAGGTACAATCCTTGTGAAATCCTCAAATGTTGTACCTGCTCTGCCATCTTCAAGATGAAAGGATGGGAAAAAGTACTGAGACATAAAATAGCAGTACCCAGATTACAGTAGCCAGATGGGAAGACATTACAAAGTTCTTTTGAACAGAGATGCTCTTCAAGACTCAAGGAGCAGTGGTAGTTGAGAGTATGCATTAGTGCAGGGAATCCTGGCAGAGAAAAGGCTCCTGGGTTCAGCAGAAGGCCCCTCCCTGGAGATCCTCAGGCCAATTTCTCAAGGGTCCTCTGCCCCTTCTGGATGAGATGGCATTCTGTACCAGCAAATCTAGAGCAAAAAGCCGAGCAATTCCTAGCCTTTAAGTCTGTCCCCATACACACTGAGTAGAGAAGAAATGAAAGCAGAAGACTTAAAGGAACCTAACGTTATTGGTAAGCTCATTCCCTGGCGCTGCCTGAGTTTGCAGGCAGGGCTCAGGCTTGGACGCTGCAGTACGTGGCTCGTGGAATGAGCCATTCTCTTCTTACCTGGTGTTGGTTGGGAAGGCACTTTGAGTTGGTGCAGGATTTATGTTTCCAGGTGTGTGGCCCCAGAATG